TCCTCCACCTCCCCCACCACCTCCTCCTCCACCTCCCCCACCACCTCCCCCACCACCTCCTCCTCCCCCTCCACCTCCCCCACCCCAGTGCGTCCACCGTTCCGCTGGCTTGTCAATCTCCTTTTCTTCTCTCTCTACTTCGTTGGTAGCCTTTTTCTCAAGCAGGGCCTCCTTCCTCTCCTGCTGAGTGACCCTCTTCTTATCGTGATTGTTCTCCTCATGAAGAATTCGTTTCTGTGAAGAACAAGTGATTTTCTCTCCATCAGTAAAAGATAAATCTCCAAATTTTCTTGATCACATTAGATTTTGTTCAAGGCGTTGCGTTTTTATTTTTCTTTTCTTTACTTTTCTTGATCAAACACAAGACCAAGAAATAAATTACAGTCGGGCCAAACATTGAGCCAACCTCTGATTCACAGATTTGAAGCCCTCAAATTCTTGAATCTTCTCAACCTAGTGTATACATCGTAGTCATTGTCAAGTTTTTTTCCTGATAGCTCAGGTTATCAGTTATTCTCCTCGGTTCTTGGGCACATGAACCAAGGCGTTTTCCCATTGACAGCACTCATACTGACGAAATGGTGCTGGTATTAACCTCCGTAGAAAGAAGACAATTATATCGTGGGTGAAAGACTTAGGAATCATTTACGATTGAAAAAAAAAATCCCCAGCCTGGACAAAACCTGGATACGCCTTTGACTGTGTACCATTCATCGGAAGCTATTATTTCGAGCTCCAACGAACGTTCAGGCGTGAAAGAGGAAATTTTCCTGAGTTACCATTCAGGGTAGATTTACGATTTCGTTTTGCTGTTTCTTCACATTTTCTGTCTGCTCTTTGGTGTGTTCTTCCCTGGAACGATACCCCACATTTGACAGACAGACGGTCTGCCGCATTCTGTTGACGTAACAAAGCATGTTTCTCCTTTTCCCCTTCCTAACCTCGTCCCTTAGCCCTTTAAAATTGAGGGTATCTATGCAATTTCTAAAATAAAATCAATCCACTTACTACGAAGTTCGAGTTCGATTCGACCTCTTGTCGCTCGCCTTTCGAACGCTTCGCTGCCGGGAAAGTGTTGGCTACGGGCCTTGGCAAAACGCCGGTGCTCAGGCATAGGACCACCAGGACTAGGGCGAGTGTCAAACGGGGCAGCGCCGCTGGGAGCCCCATCGTGAACCGCAGCGAATTCTGCTCCAGTGCCGGACTTTTTTCCTGAATGACGGCTCAAAGTCTCTCCTCTCGTCCGATTTAAAGACCGAGACGAGCTTGTAGTGATCTGGGGTTCGTCAAATGTTCCCAGTGTTTATACTTCTTTCCGAGGCGTGTCATGCAGCCTTCAGCAAACACCAACATTGAGTGGCACGACCTATCCCCCTTCATGTTTACTTTAAGCCAATTTTCTCGGGCTCAATCGTGATAGCAATCCTTACTTCACACCAGGATGGTTGCAGGACCAAATTTGCCGGGGCCAGACGTGTTTTCTGCGGGGGGGTTGAAAATATGGAACCTTTTATGTAATCTTTTATGGCATTTTGAGAGTGATGCCAAAATGTTGGCCATTAAAGGAAGGAGAACGACAAAAAAGACCCTCAAATTCGCTTGTATTTTTCCAAAAAATTGTGGGGCTCCTTTTCGGAGGCCCATGGCTCACGTTGCCCCCCCCCCACTCTAAACCATAAATCGGCAATCAGGCCGCCTTGCATATTATATCGTCTGATTAAACTTGGAGTTCCTGGCCACAAGACAATGTCCATTGTTTTGCATTCCTTTTGACCAGTCAAGATGCAACTACTAAGTTACCAGGTGGGGTGTTCATGTTGGAAAAATCATTTTAATACAATATAATTAGACTGGCATCCGCTCGTGTCCCTTCCATTTCGACAGTTCGTTTACCGTTTCATGATGTTTATAGATCATGACATTTTTAATTAGATTGCAAGTCTGCCTAATTCCTGTTCTCTAGTTATTCTTAAATTCCCTGTTCCTTGGTCTACAGGAACAAAATGGTGAATCTTACTTTTGAAAAGAGAAGTGGATAAACATTTCCAGCTTCATCCAAGTTTAGCAGATATCTTTAGATCTGTTTTTGAAATTTTAAAGACAATGAAATTGAATGGAAACGTTTGCGTCTTTTCGATAACTTTTGAATACAAAACCAAGTACGGCTTCCCTCTCCCCAAAATGGTATTGTCACCCCACGCTGCTATATATCAAACTCTGTGACACTCAAAAGCTTTCTTAATCTTCAATTTTTGGTTTATTCTGAAGGAGCGCAAATGAAAAAGTTAAGTATTTTTGGTGAAAGACTGTATAAACGCTTTAAACCAAAAATTATTAACGCGATTGACACTTATCGTTTGGTATCAGTGAAAAGAATACCAGCAACAAAGGAGTTTTTTAAATGTTATCCATTACAGTTTTCAGATTTTACTTTTTTTAAATTGATCTGATGGCAAATTTTTGATCGCAAACCAGGCCTTGCTTTAATGGAAATCAAAGGAAATCCTGGCAGATCGGCGAAGACATACACTGAATCGATTTGAAGTCCCATTATCTAAAGACACACACTGCCATCTCGACTGAGCAAAGCAATATTAGCATGGAACGAGAACTCTCTGCAAATTGTACACTTTAGTGTGGGCTGTAAAGGTAAATTAAGCTTCAAAACCTGTTCAAAAACATTCACTTGTCGGGTTCTTCTGAAGAAAAAAATTTTTACCTACATAAAACAGGTGGTTAACCTAATCTTTTTAAAACTCTAATGATACGCTTGTTAAAATCTTTTACTATTTTCCCAAGCATTATTCTTTTATATTAGTAAACGGTGTTTGGATATCGCAGACTGGAATTACGCACGTCAAACCTTATCACCATCTCCCGCCATTGTGCCATCCCCAACCGCCTCTTTCTCCTCCACCTCCCCCTCCGCCACCTCCATGACCTGGCCTGTTGCCTCCACCTCCCCCTCCGCCACCTCCATGACCTGGCCTGTTGCCTCCTCCTCCTCCTCC